CAATTTATCTCTAGAAAAATGTTTTCGGACTTAAAAACTTCGAATAGCTATTCTTTTTCCCCCAAAAATCAGTATTATTTTTTTTATTTTTTGAAATTAGAAATTTAATCTTTATACAGTTATTCTACAGATGTATCCTATTCGATGTAAATTAAATAATAATATAAAGTATAATCAATATAATCATAATATTCTATAATCTTCGTGGTAATAGAGAGAATTGTTAGTGTTAGCTAATTACTCTCGTGGGAGGATCGGTCTCAATTAATGTTCCCATCGGTCGTACAACTTACCGCTTAAATATCAATTTCAAACAGACGGTATCCTTATTAGCATTAGCTCGGCAAGTACGACAAAGAAGTTTAGGTACGCCGCTAGGAAAGTTCAAGGATGCAAATAAGGGTAATATCGCAACGGAAGTACGGAGAAGGGAAGACGAAGATCGTAGTTGACTGTCCCGTTTACACTTATCGTTGGAATTATTTCGTTCGTGTAAGGAATCATGCTCATAGAAACGTGCTCATTGTTATGGAATTTATTGGAATATATATATATATTATTAAAAAAACAAATATAATAACAATTCTACTATAATTATATTCTACTATAATATACTGCATTATATTTAGTGTGTTTATAAAAAAAGAATTAAAGTTATTTTATTTAAGAAGATTTATATAATGATTTAGAATAAATTATTTAATACATGTTAAGTTTTATAACACCATTTTTGTTGATTAATTTTTTCAGAAATTTTGCATAAGAAATATTGTTAAATGTGTAAAAACAATACTTTCATTAAGATGATAATAATATATACAATATACATATAATAATTAATTATACATTTTATATATTATAGATATGATATGTTAATAAGGCATATTTTGATTCAATAATGTAACAAAATTTTCCCCGTTATGATTACATTATTAAAGATTGAATTCTTTATGAACACGATAATGTAAGTTCCCTTTATCATTCAGGTCACTTCATCAAAACTGAGTCCATAATTACTTTATCCCCGCTCGAAATAAATCATTTCTCGCCTTTCCTCCCTTCGTGGAGTAATAGGAGTACCGCCATTTAAAGCGTCCCCAATTTATATCGGGTAATTGAGGTAGATTACATTGGTTGTTTTTTTTTTTTATTTTGTCAACATAACACGGGAATAGAAATAATTTCTTAGACTTTCATGTAGTGGATTCACGCAGTGTATATCGCGCGATATATAAATTAGTTCTACTATATAACAAATGATTATATAAGTTGTTGTAGGATATTAAGTTTAGATACTGTTAATACTCTAGTGTACTTCAACAATATATTAATAGGTATTGATTTAACTTTCCGCACATTTTCTTGAAAAATTTAATATACTTGACTGAAAGATAAATAGATGAAAGTATAAGACTTATATAGAATGGAAGGATCGGAAGAGCCGCGATTATTCATCACCGAGATTTTTAAAACGAAAATCGCCATCGTTGTGGCCGCTCATAGGTCCATCACGTCGGATGAATGAATAATTATCCCGAACCCCCGCGTACGAAGGGAATCGTTCCTCGATGCTGTACTCCCTTCGCCGAGGAAATGCCTATATACCGAGCCGCCCCCAATTTATATAAGCTAACCGACTCGGCGCACCCGACCACCCCCGGTGCTCGTATAATAATTCCGCGATTCCCTCCCGATGTTCATTTCATTATTTTTTTTCCTCCTTCGTCGCGGCCGCCTTCGTATTCTCTCCTTTCTCTCCTTCGTCCGCCACTTCCACAATCGCTTCTCCGCAACCCACCGCCACCGCCACCGCCGCTGAGAGGGTGATAAGTCGTGACGTCGACGAGGTAGAGGTGATTCCGAAACGTAGGCGTGGTCGCAGCATCCCACCCCCCGCCGACCACCGCTGCGGGGGCCAGCCGGCGGGGGTGGGAGGGCTCGGATTCCGTGGGGGAGTAGGATGGCGCGCGGTGCACGCTTCGCGTTGGCTGCCTCCAACCCTCCACCACCACGTGGCCGGAGCCGGCGGTGGCGGGACGTGCGGTGGTGGACGTGTGCACCGCGCGCTACAGAGGGTGGAAAATCGTGTAAGAAAAACCCGCGGCACTCTCTGCGCCAACCTCATCGGCCCTATTTCTCCCATTCTCTCTTTCTCGCTCTTATTCCGCCGCTCTTTCCTACCCTATAACATCGTCCTCGTTTTCGTTTCGACCCCCGCCGGGTAATAGACGGCGGGCTCTACTTAAGTGCGGGGCACGCCGTTGCGTTCCGTCCCTCCCCCGGTCCTTCTCGTCTCCTCTTCCCCTTTCGCTCCCTCCTCTGCCTCTCGCTCTCCCTTCGCCCTTCTTCGTCGCGATCCTTTATCCTCGCGCGCGTTTAAAAGGGACGTATGTATGTATGGCCTCGTGTACGCCGCTTTTATGTGGAATTCTTGGGGCGAGCATCGAGAGAAGAGACTTATCACGCGCTGTCAGAGGAACGCGCTGCGCCGTTTGCGTATGCGTGCGAGCGAGCGAGCGAGCGAGCGAGCGCGCGCGCGCACGTCCGCATGGTCCGCATATGACACACCGGCGTCGCGCGCTCGTTAATTTAATTAACCCTACGGACACTTCCGGCACAAACGTGGACGGCCAGCGTGCTCTGTCGTACTTTCCATGATAATGCGCACGAGGCTGCTCCTCCCCTCCCCCCCCGCGCGCGACGTCGTCGTCACTTTCGTTGACCCGGGCGACAGGGCTCGCGGGGAAGACGGGCGGCAGGGAGGGTGGCGAAATTATGCGCGCGGAATGACGGCAACGTAGTGTCTCGTCGTGTGACACTGCTTCGCATGACACTATATGATCGTTCGAAATGTTGTAGACGCTAATGGACGCTGTTACTAATTTCGGTGGAGTATATTAAATCTCTTTTTTTCTTCTCTTAATTGTTGCTAGTCTGTCTTTAAGATTATAATTAAACTTTTTATTAACGACTAGAATTAGTACATTAATGTATTACGTATATATTTGTATAATATATTTGTACATAAATAGTAATGGTCCGAAATTCCAAATTCATCTTTTCTTCTATTTTTTTACGGATTCTTTAATCTTTCTAATATTCTTACGTCTAGACTAGTAGTCTACAGTCCATTGGGCTACACCTGTGTATTTACAGTTCTGTCAGCCAGACAACACATTCGTCGTATTCAACAGTCGTGTTTCCCTAATTGTGTCACTTTCATACTCTAGATGGAGTTAGGCATAAATAATTTCGCGTATACAAAAATACACACAATTGATTATATATAATAGACAGAATATGTTACCTCTCTCATGATCATGTAGTTGATAGCGTCATGTAGTTGATTTTGTTTCTTGGTTGTTATTATACATTATTTTTGGAAATGTGGGGAAGGCTTTGCATGCTTGCCCCATCAATAAATTGAAACAAACATAAGTCATTATCTCGTGACTGTAGATTATCTAATCTAAAGTGTCAATATTTTTAGGGGAAAAAAAAACATTTGTGTATAATAAAAATAAAATTATATATATTTTATTATATGTTTATATACACATAATAAAACATATGTAATATATGTATGTGTATATTAATAAAAATTAAAAAATCTTTAACTTAAAAGTATCATCTTGTTATATCAGAAAAAAATTAAAGAATCTACAAAAATATAAGAGAAGATAAATTTTGAGGCTTTCTCGTACATCTTTTACCCAGAGATTGTCACATGTCACATATTATATTATTTACTGTACAGTACTAGAAAAGAAAGTTTTATGATCTCAGTAAGCCGAACATTTGAGAAAGAAATCTTTATCGCCATCGTAGAAACTACGATTATCATTCCCATTTCTGCTGCATGCTGATAGGTATAATAAGCCCGCGGCTTCATAATATCGATATCGTCATTATCGCGTGATTATTACGCGATCCAGAGAAGTCGTGGACGATCGCCAAGCCTCCCCCGTTCCCGCGCCGCCGGTTATTATTATTATCATCATTATTGTTATCATTATTACTATACCTGTGGGTTTGGAGGGGAGCTGCGAAGGCTCTCTCTCGTCGGCGATAATATAATTACCTACACCGACAAGAAAATTACATCGTACCCTCTCGCGCTGCCCCGCAAAGTCTATGCAGCACACACGAACGCCGATGTACACGAGCGCGCGCTTGCCGGTGGTAGTGCGAGATAATAAAGTTGATAAGAGCGTAGAGGGTCTCGCTCCGCAATCCCTACCCGCCGAAAGAGAGCAAACGGGGTGTAGCGCCGGAGGAAGGGGTGGTATAGTAAAGGCGAGCGCGGCGGTACGCGAGAAACGGGGTGCGAGCGAGAGAGCGGCTAGCGGTGCCGTCGGGAGTGCTGCGGGGTAGATGGGCGTGGCCGGCATTTGCCGGCGAGGCAGACGATTGGACGGTCCGCGGGGCGGCTTCGTCAAATAAAATCCAATCGTTGAGACCAAAGGAATGCGAATCTCCAAGCTTTTTTCCTACCCTTGGTACTACGAGGCGGCGAGCCGCTTACCCTCCTCTTTCTGTCGCTTCCCTGCCCCTCTCCTGCGCCCTCCTCGCCGAGGTAGCGCGCCTTCCGTCCGCTCCCCCTCCCGTCCCCTCCCGCCTTTCTCTTTTCCTTTGCTCCTCAAGGGGGTGCGCGCAGCGCCGTTTGATGGGAGTATGATTTTATTACGGCATTACCGAGCGAGCCAAACCCCGAATTGCTCGGCTTATAGTCCGTATTATCTCACCTAAGAGGGAAAGAAGGGGTGACGGAGAAACGGAGGGTGGAACGGGCAACGGCGTGGTCGGAGGAGGAGGAGGAGGAGAGGGAAGGGACACGGAGCACCCACCCCTCGGCGCGCGTATACCCTTCTTCGGGGTAAGGCCACTGCCTGCACGTACGTACGGGGTGGCGTTTCGAGAACGCCGGCGACGCCGGGCGGTCGAGGAGAGGGGATTGGGGGGGAGGGGGGAAACGAGTGAGCCACCTATATGCCTTTGTGGGCCTTCATTCGAGGGTTGCATGCTCTCACGTTGCCGCCGCCGCCACTAACCCCCCTTTCCGTGCGTTCGGAAGGCACGCACGCAGGCACGCCAGTTGACATCCCGCTGCCGAAATCGCACGTCCTTGTCGTCGGACGTGAAGTGAGGCTGCGTGCGCGATCATGTGACACGCGCGATCCCGCACGGTGGGATCTTCCGCGACGAGGATCTCGCGGGAAAAGGGGGTCCTGCTCTTTTCCCTTCCGAATCGAGTACACGTTGTTGAAAAAAAAAACACACGACAGGAATTTAATATTTTCGAATATTACTCGAACTGTGTGCATACTCGAGTTGCAATGTCAACGTGCATCATGCGATGTCAGCGCGGGCGTTTGACAGTGACATTAAAATAATTATCGCGATTATTCGACGTGTGAAAACTGCTGCCAATCTTCCGAGCATTGAGTCCGAAAAAATCGAGGAAGATATACTAAAGTGTGATTAGTGATTTGAAATAGTTTGTGAAGATCGATAATTCAATTGGAAGCTGTATGACGATCTTCGACGATCTCGATTCACTCGCAGATACGTGATGTGATCTCCAGTCGAGTTCTACGCGCGAATCTTGAACAAGATGAACGTGACAATCACTTGTCAATCAGTAAGTACCCAAAACAGTGGTAGATTCAATATCGCCCGAGACTCATGAAGAGAAAATTGATTAGCCGCAACGTAAGAAATAAAATAGTTGCTAATTTCGCTGATCGGTATCGAATCCGAAGGTCCTTCGATCCTTTCATCGACTAAAGAATCGTTCCGAGGCGACAATTGTAACAGTCAGCGAGCCAAGCAGCCGTGATATGTTTCCCTCGTCAGCGGCGATGCTGAAGAATCTGCAGCAGAGTGCCATGACCTCGCCCTTCCTGATGGAGAACTTGCTCCAGAGCAAGGCATCGCCGGGGACGGATCTCACTAGCTTGACCTTGAACTGGGCAGCGAGTCTGGTGGCGCGACAGCGCGAGAGAGAATGCGAGGCGAGTCTCCGGCTCGTTCGGGACCGATCCTCCCCCAACGACATCGTCCAGGATCATCTGGAGCAACGATCCGGCCCGATCGGCGGACGCGATCGCATAATGATCGATTGCCGGGATCAGCAGAGATCCAGCGGCGGCGGCGGTAGGTCCGGCGAGCGGCCGCACGACCGGATGCAGTTCCTTCAGCGCGAGAAGGAGGTCCTGGACCGGAGCCAGGGCGTGTACGACATGGAGAACGAGAGGATGGACGGGCCGGTGATGGTGGACCGGCTGTGCGCGATGGAGAGGCTCTGCAACGAGAGGATCGACAATCGATCCAATTCCGGCGTCGAGTCCTGCAACTCGAACGTGGACGAGGACCCGATCCCGGGCGCGGAGCTGGACGGTGGTCTTCAGCCGGGCGACAGGGACGAGATGGTGCTGGGGGAGCGGGTCTCCGCGATCGAGATAGACAGACGGTACGACCTTGGATGCAGAAACGTCATGCACACGTCCGATGAGATGACGATCGTATCGGGGGAGAGGGAGGCGGCGGTGACGGCAGCGGCGACGGCGGTCGAGCGTGCCGTCGACAGAATAGGCGAGAGGACCACCGCCTGTTCCTGTGGCGACGAGCAGTGCTCCGGACCGGCGTGCAGGACCATCCAGGAGAAGGAGAAGCCGCAGCTCAAGTTCAGCGTTAGCGCCATCCTCGGCGGTAATCATGACAGGAGGCCGCATCCCGGTAATTCATTGATAAACATTTACCTGTGGCATATTCGATAGCTGTCCCGGCATTAGTTCTTGAGAAACTGATGATGAAGGGTTTAATTATTTTGAACCAGCCTCAAGTTAGAGCGAGATTCTTGTAATTTAAAAAAGCAGGAAAAAATGAGAAAGAAAAGGATTTTTAAGAACAAGGGACAAATATTGTCAAGTATTGACAAATGTTAGGATAATTGATTTACAAATAAATGACGATAAATGATTGATATTAGTCGATGCGTCGATTAACGATTTTAAGCTCGGAGATTAGAAACAAGAATTTTTGTGGTCTGTAAAAGAAAGAAACAATAGAAGAAACTTTGGAAAAGAAAGGAAAATTAATTACGAGGCAAAAGAGATTTCACGGTGATTCATTGATAAACATTTGTCTGACATAATCGAGTTGATGGTTATCCTGTTTGCTGAGAGATTGATCGGGGCGGATTTAAGTTTTCAAAACAGCCTCGAGGTTAGCGAGATTTGTGCAATGTAGAAAAGAAAAGTAAACAATAGGATTTAAAAAATATTTTAAAAATCATAAATAAGTGCTGTGAGATGCATTGGGATAACTTATTGATAATAATGGAAAATATAGTATTAATTAATTGATTAAGCATTATAAACTCAGAAGCCACCAAATTTTTATGATCTATGAAAGAAAAGAAAAATTAAACAGAATTGATAAAACATACTTTAGAAAATAGGGGGAAAAATATATTTAAAAAATAAATAATTTAAAAATACAGTGAGAAATGCCGAATTTATTTATCTTGACAGAGTATAATAACTATGGCATTAATTGATGTGTTTATTAAGCATTATAAACATAATATTCGGAATCATCATAAAATCATTATCTTTTATGAAAGAGAAGAAAAAAAAATGAAAAACCCCGATAGCAGATATTTTAAAAAGAAATAAGGAAAAATTGGTTACGAGATTGGTTTCGATATTGTCCAACGAACTAGTCGAATTTTTTGTTCGACATTTTATGACTTTCAATACATTAACTGGAACATGATCTCGTGCTACTGCTGTTACAAATAACGAAGAAGGATAAATATATTAAATGTACGAGAAAATATAGTTCCAAAAGACAGACAAACATAAATGTATTTATTTTTTTTTATATTATTTTTTGTGCAAGAAATACAGTAGAGATTACATGGAATGTGTTAGTATGTCCAGTAGTACGTACGTATATGTACGTCTTAGGGTCAACAATCGGCGATTGTAATCGCAGATTCGCTCTTATCGCCGGAAAGACATTGTCGGGAAGAGTTTCACGCGGTGATCGGAGAGTGTTGAAACAAAGCTCACCACAAATCAGTGTCGCGAGCAGACTTCTGTCGCCGGTCCCTAAATCTCATCCGCACACCCTCAAGACGAGTCGCGCAGCGTGCGTGCGGGGTTGGAGCGCGCAGGGCGTCAGCTGGCCCGCCACTTACCTTCACCCCAATATTAAGCCCTTACGATTGGTGCCTATAATATTAGACAAGCGGCAGGATTCAATGATGTATTGCCGCGTCGCTTGTCGCGCCTTTCCTCCGTTCTGACCTTCCGTGATTCGTCGCGCCGAATATTTGTCGCTGCAAATTAATGCGCGAGGTTACGAAAAAAAACAAGATGCCTAATGGTACAATTATGTTGTATATTTAGCAGTATATAATAATGCAAAAATTTAGAATTTACAACAAGAACGAAAAGTATTGATAGTAACATAATGAAATAATATTGTTCTATATTTCGATTTGTAACTTATTTAAAAACATATTATTAAAATATTACTGTAGATAATTAGAATTAATCGGGATAATTGTGACGGTAATATAATGCCACGAAAGTTATTCTCGTTATCACTATATAGCTGTGATGCTTTTCCGGTTAATTTTATCTCTGCAAATTCATGTTTATCGCATTATTTCTCAATCCTAAAGTTCACAGTTTCCGATGCTTTTAGCCGAAAGAGTCGATTTTCCTCCGTCACCTCGATTACGAGAAAAACTGTTACAGATTACAGGTCGTTCCGCGCGAAGGTTACAATGCCGTCCCGTCATTCGCAGGGCATCCCCGAACATTTCGCGAGGGTCCGGTGGACCCTCGCATCGCATATACGTATACACGCCGGTCTTCGGCCGGCGCGGCGTGTCCTCATTGTCACTCTTTCCTCCGAACACCCCACTCACCCCCGTCTCTCCCACGTTCATGATTGACACGAGTCGATAAAGACCGTGTGCGCGCGCGATAAACGCGCGTAGACGTATTAGATGCATAAACTGTGCGCAAGAGAGAAAAGAGAGAGAGAGCCCTCGCGCGAGGGAAGCGAGGGGCCGGGCGGAAGAGGAGGGAAGAGATCGCGTGTGGGGTTCCACGAAAGTGGAGAGAGTCGAATGTTGCAATTTAACATCGGGCGAATTGCACGCATCTGCCGGCAGAAGGATACGCGGGGGTGGTAAAGGGGACATCGCGCGGACGGGAGAAGGGAGAGAGAGAGAGGGCCCGAGCAGGGGTGGCAATGGGGAAATTCGGTGCGTTCGAGATACGCCGCGGCAGGGAGGGAGAGGGAGTTTCGTGCGTTTGTCGGATAGCGGATGCATTGACCGTGCCACGTGCATGTGTTACATCCCCCTTCGTTCCCCGCGCGTACCGAGACCGCACCCCTCTTTCTCCCTCTCTCCCTCCCTCCCCCCTGCCGATCTCTCACCGCGAATAGACCCTCCAGCATCCACCGGGAACGCGGTACCGCCGTCCTCCCACTGTCCTTCCCCTCTCTCCCGTCTCCTCCTCCTCCTCCTCGCGTATACATCCTCGCCTCTGCTTCTGCTCCCCACCGTACCCCGGTGGTAACCAACCCCCCTTCCCCCCCGCGGGCTTGTACGTCATGTCGAAATGTTGTGAAATAATTGCGCGAAAAAGTGATTGGCAACAAACTCGAAATTCATCGACGAGAGACGCGAGGGCCGCTCGCGGCGGGACGGGAATTTGGGTGAGGGGGCCGCGAGGGAGTAGGGCGGGTTGAAACTGCGACGGATGATCCAGCGCGCGGGGACGCGCGCGGGGGGACGGTGTCTGACGGGCGAGCGACGTTGAATTTCGAATAGCATTTTCACCAATCGTCCCGCGATTTACCGCCCTCCCCCTTTCCTACCCCTCCTCCTCTCTCGCGTTCACCCCCTCCCGCCCCCGCCGCCTCCCCCCCGTTCCCCACGCGAGCCGCCACTCGCGGCCCATGTTTTTTGTTGCGTATCGCAACGATTATTGATATTTTTCGATATCGACTGTGTGTCGAGCACGACGGACTTGGTTTTAATACGCATATCTGCCGTGGAAAAAACGTCACATTTTATTCGTCGGTTAAATAAGGGAGTTAAAAAAGGAACGACAGAAAGCTCGAAGGAGGAAAAATCAACCGTGGATGATTCTGATTCAGAATACTAAAAGTCAGATGTGGTGAATGTTTACCTGTATCGAGTTATATTTAGCGAAAGTCGACGAAGTGTTGGCGTAAAATCATCGACGTCGGCATCGTCAATTTTTACTAAATCTATCCTGATCAAATAACACTTGTGCCATTCGTAACGGGAGGAGAGCAAAAAATCGGGATTCATTATTTGCGTCATCGAGAAATGAGAATGCGAAGTGAGATTGAGAAGTGACGTGTAATGAATATGAGGTAGCTGTTTAATGTAGAGATGCAGCAATTTTCAGATGCACGTCAATGTCATAAACATCATTGTAAACGTGGAAATCAATCGGGATGAATGTTTCACATTATACGTAAGGCTCATGAAAATTAGACTGGGAGAGAGTAAACGTTTCTCTATTATCAAATCACGTCACGTCAAATTCTGCGTTATTCCCTTCACGGTCGATCAACCGCTCAGGATCCCAAAAAAATGTTTTGGATCCTCGTGAAAAATCCTCGTTCGCCAAGCCTATCCTAAGACAAACACGCTTACTCCGCGGAGGAAACGGGGCATCGTCGTGTGTGCCGCTCCGTAAACGAGCAGTCTTCTCCCCCCCTATTTACGAGGCGGAGACCTGCAGCGCGGTATATCTAGTTAATAATGCATCCCTGACCGTAATCCGAAAGAATAACCAGCGAATATATGTTGTAACCTCGTAACCTAAGGCCCGTGAGGGGGCTGCTTAAGCCCAGCGCACAAAAAAAAGGACGAGGGCGAGAGGGGGCCCCATCACAACTGTAACAACACGCGAGGGCCGGAGTTTCTCGAGACCGCAGACAGGAGGTTTAATCTCA